ATCAACTCCTACAGCAGCAATGTTGAGGTCAATCCCTCTAACACGTGAATCCTTAGAGTTGATGTGGTTGCCAGTAGTGGATGATGCCTTGCTGTTATCAAAACTCTCAAAAACAGAAGTCAGCCGGAAAGCACTAGTTGCAGCAGGTCCCCTCCAACCACCAACGTCTTGCAACTCTAGCTGGGCCACAGGCAAGGAGATAATTTTCCCAGATTGAGCCATCGTAGGTTTTGGCTTAAAGACACCATGGACGTGGTAAGAAACTGTTTCCTTGACCAACTGCTCGGTGCATTCCGCTTCATTTGACACATCCTCATTAAGATCAAAATCAGAGGTAGAAATAGTTTGACCTTTGACAGCTGGATCTTCAGATTTTGCACTTATATTAGATGGTTGTTTGTGATTAGCTTCAGGTGTCATTGTCGGTTCAAAGTCATGTGGGGGCTTTATAATATCTATGTACAGCTGTTTCTTCCCCAGTGGTGTTTCTTGATCCACCACCTCTTTGCTGGAACAGAAATTGTCACGACTATCATTTTCTGTGCAAAGCTGTGTTATGCATCGGGATTCTGCAACACAATTTTCATTACATGGAACTGCAGAATCAGCATAATTCAGATTAACAGTTTCACTGCTTCTCCCAAAAACAAAAGAATTTCCTGAGGCTATCACTTGCTTCACTTCCCTAGTAACTCTCCGCTCCACCTCATGTGCATCATCCAGCTGAGAACAAGACTCTGCTCTATTGTGGTTAGCAGGAGTTGCATCTTCTAACTCAGGTGGATTCAATTTCAGAGTATTATCTACCTCTGTGATGACAGGCTTGTGGTCTGCAACAGCAAGCACTACCAACTGACTGTCACAACTTTTTGCTCCCACATTGTGAACAACTTCCGAGGCATTTTCCACATTTCCCTCTTTTGGCGGAAAAGAGACATTATCAGAGACATCTCCAGTAGAAATTCGGGTGGCCAAACCTAATGCTGAACTTCTTTCCCCTGCCTCCTCCACACTGCACCTTAATTTATTACCAGTGGAAGTATCAGCACCAGTTGTGTGACACTTTAATGAGCTGGTATCTGCTGTTATTTCCTGGCAGCTGTCATTTGAAGAAGCCGGGAAATTGACATTTGTAGAGTTAGAAGAGGAAGACTCAGTTTTAAGTTGCTTGCTAAGACAATTTTCCTGCACTATTGGCTTCAATCTGTCTTTACCATTTCTTAGCCAAGAATTATTCATTGTACCATTTACCAGCTCAGTGTTTTGCTTCTTGAGATCTTCTCCAATTTCTGAGCTAGCATCACTCCTCATGGAAATATTTTGTGTCAAATCCAACCCTTCAGGGGCTTGTGAAGGAACATCCCCATCAGCATTTCCTTCATTTGCAGGCATGTTGCATGCAGACTTCACCCTCAGAGTTCCTCCAGAAGAACTTTCATTAATCAAAATTGAATCTCCTGATGTAGTAACAAGAGAAGATGTTTTCTGCATATCATTTGCATCTTGTTTGGTACATATGGTAGAAATATTACCATAATTTAAGCACTTTGTTTCCATTTCTGGCAATTTTTCTACCTTACAACCCTTGGAGTCTTGCAACTGCTTCTCAAATCCAGCATTTTCCCCAGAACAATCAGATAAGCTACTTGTGCTCCCCAGAAGATCTTGCGGTTTGGGAGAATTAAGGTCACGGTGATCCATTGGTGCCCAACAACTGCCCCAAGAGAAATTGCTACAGAATGAAAGAAGGGTTCTTGGTGATCATCAACCTTAGCAGCTGTTTAACTATGTCCGCTTCAATGAACCTTCACAAAAAGCTTAAGCAACCAATTCCAGATAAGCCTTAATGAACCCAGATAGAGATCAGAACAGAAAGGACAAAGATATGGCAAATTGATTGAAAACAATATTTCAAAGTCCACAAATCTTGCTGGAGAAATAGCATCTTAGCGGCCCCTACAAAAGCCACAAAACTGTTCAGTCTTTTGAGTTGGTAACTGAGCCCCACAAAATGCAAGTCCAAGCACTATCTTGCCATGTTAATCAATTCATCTAAATTGTCAATCCATTCTGAATAATGAAAAGTTAATAGTGAGTTTGAATGCATTTTTTAATTTACTGTTCTGTCAAAGCTAAAAGGGGAAATAATCGTAGTTTTGATGTGGATTGGATAAGATTGAAACTTAATTTCTGCCATACAGAATGCAGATACCCCCATATCACATTTTTTGAGTTCTCTCCCAAATACAATTTCAAAATGACAAAACAATGAAACATTTCTTTAAATTAAACGAAGAAAAAAAGAGAGGAGAAAACAGCAAATGGATAGAAATGATGAAGTAGAATGCACTTGTGTCGTTAGAATGCACTTGTGTCCTGGGAATCTTCTTAAAATCAATGGAATTACAAACCTTTGAGAAGATGAAGAAGTTTTATTCCTATGAGTTCAACTGTTAGCAAAATATTGAAAATTCTGGAGAAGTAATTACTCATAACTCAACTTTCTATCGCTGAATGTTTGACAATCATGAACAAATAGCAAAGAGGTTTATCACATTATCCTAGAAACTCCAGTCCAGAATAACACGGATGATAAGCTCGTCAGGCAATGCTTTCAAGCATCAATCTTTGTTTCATGAAAGCCCAACCAAACTTTACTAATGGTGGAGGAAAGCTTTTATATTCAAGAAACCAAATGAACAGAAATCATTTTTTTCATTTATTTTCTCCATTTTTCAGCACCAATCAAAGCATAATTGATGTAACAAATGAATCTAGGAAAATAATAGAAAACAAAAAAGCTCATGCTATCATGAACCAAGTAATAAGAGAATCAAGTCACTCATAAATGATTATATATTTTAGAAGGGAGAGGAAGCCAGAATTCCAATTAAATTCAAAGGTGTCTCAATTAGTTTGCCAAGGAAATGCAGTTTCCAATCAAAGATCTTTCATCGATTGAAACACAAATAAACAAACTGAGCTAAAACAACCTGAGCAAAGAAAAAAAAAAAAAAAACCATCAAACCAACCAAAAATCCCATTTTTATCCCCCCCCTCAATTTCTCCGACGAAGAAACATAGACCAGACAAACCCAAGTAAAAAATAACAAACTCTACACAAACCCCAGTAGAAAACACCCCTTAGCAGACCCAATATTCAGATTCAGCTACTTCAAAGCCGCAAACCCACAAGCCATTTCCTCTAAAATAGACACAAAGACACATCCATACATGTTTACATGTATTACCCAGATGCATATGCAGAGAGATGATCAGGAATGAAATTACAGTCTACAGAAGAAGGGAAAACCTGTTATGTTCCATGACAGCACCAAAAATGGTATTGGAGGCTTTCAGGTTTGTAGGGGTGAAGGGAGTAGAGTTTGCACAGCAGGCAGGGGAGCTAGGGAAAGAAATAAAACGGAAAGAGAAAGGCTTGAAAGGGAGTCCCTTTCTATCTTCTTCCTCAGAAAAGGAAGAAACTTTGGCTCTCCCCTCCTTCCAAAAAGTCTAACCCAAAACCAACCTCCACTTTTCTCTCCCCTAGAGACGGAGACGGGCGACAGCAACACAAGGCAGCTGGCCCCACCGTGACTGCGCCCTCCTCATTCTCGGAGCTAGAGTGGGACCCACTAATACAATGTGCAGTCTGGGGCCCACCTTGTACCATACTATGCCGTGCTCATACTATGCTGTCGGGCCCACTACACGCAAACGAGGTTTGTGGGAATCAACAAATTAGCTTTCCGGGCCCACTGGTTTCTCTC